CAACTTTTGTTCCAGTTCGTTTCGCTTTCCCCGTCCCCTTTTCTCCTCACATCCCGCTCTGTCACATGCTCTCATGAGTCATGACTTGTGCTACCTGTATTACGAAATCTTGAAATATGACATTTCCACAACCTGTATTTTTCACACCTCACTCACAACAAAAGCTTGGTTATGAGCTTTGCATGAGCTTAGAGCTCATGGCAAGAGCTGGCATCCAGTGGAGGAGGCCGAGATTCAATTTCCCAACTCAATTCCTCAGACCAGCCAGCAGGAAAAGCACAACAATAAGGTGGCGCTGGCCTGAGTTAAGCGGTGTATTTAGCGAGTCAACGTTGATGCAACTGAGGATTCTTCTAGCGATGATGAGGTTACAGCAAGCGAATCCAATACTGGACGAAACAAGCCTTAGCCCTCCCAATACCTTGGCATAACGGCTAAGTTTATGATCTGTCAGCGTGATAGTACTCTGTGACACAGGCAGATCCGTTCACCATCGACGTCACTGACTTGCATTTTGCATCTCAATATAGCTGTCCCGCATGTGAATCCTCTCTGGCTATTCGGAAAAGTCTTTCACCGTCAAAGTGAGGCTGTATGCAGTCAACCAGCAAATGACATCACCCCCTTTCTTCCGGGTTTCCATCTTGCCGCTTCACGCATGAGCGACGTCACGTCACGCACAAGGGATGGCCGACCGGGTCGGTGCTGTCTTGGGACCGGCGGTGGACTCGCACTACCCCGGAAATGGATCTGCGCCGAGAATGTGACTTCCTAGTCAGGTCTCAACTGATGCACAGCGGGAGATGCTTATACTTGAAAAATAAAGATGCCGTAATTTAGTAAATGCAACGCGCCGCAAAAGCATCTGGTGGGTGCTGCTGTTGCTGATAAAAAAAGCTCAGGGAAGACTGGTCTCAGAATTCAGCTTAATACAGTAGTTGTCCGGAACTGTGATGCACAGGAGCTACTCATGAGAGTTCCGCAAAAGACTGGAAAGTTTCCGTGACCGACTGGGTGTTTCTGATTTTTCTTCACATCCTTTTTTTCTTCATCTTCTTACTAAGAAGCTTGAACGCTCCAGGGCAATAGAGGTCTTCAAGCCGCTTTCAGTCTCCATTTCCGAAGAAGAAACTGCCATTCTTACAGCAGTATCTTACAGCAGTATGAGCGCATCAGCTGGAAAACCCAATCTTGACAGAGGTGACTCAGAGAAGCAAGGTGATGATGATTCTGATGATTCTGGAGTCGGACTCCAGCTCGGGGGAGCTGCCCAGGAGATCGAGGATCCGACTCTCAGTATAAGCCATCCTGAGGCGTCCAGGCTACTACTACTACCTTCTCATGACGTCCCTTCAGGCTTCTTGGAGCTCGGTTTCAAATCATCTTCCGGATCCGGGTTCCAGTTCCGGAGTCGTCTCAGCGAAGAGCATGTGAGAGAGAGCCAGCCTGAGATTGCTGCTGATAAACGTCGTCATCAACTTGATGGTTTTGCGCTGCACGCCATCATGGCTTCGTCTGCTCCCAGAACAGCCGTATCGCCACACGATTTTGACATTGATTTGAGCAGAATCCCTCACGATTCGCCGACCGCAGCAGCGACAGCAGCAGCAGCAGCAGAAGAAGAAGAAGTAGCAGAAAGAGCAGCAGCAGCAGCAGCACAAGCAGCAACAACACCCCTTACGTTTGCTACCACTGTGGGCTTAACAGGTGGTCTTACTCGATCGGCTCTTAACGTTGCTGGTTTGAGAGAATCGTCGAGGTATACGGCAACAGCAGCAGAAGCAACAGGGTCTGTTATGAATGTTTCAGTTCGATCTTTGTCTGCTCAGCAGGCTGCTATGGCTGGTTCCAGTGGCCTCAGACCAGCTATCAATCTTGATGCTGTGGTGGATTCAGCTGATGATGACCGAGCAGCTGCCGCTGCAGCAGGAGCAACAGGGTCTGTCTCAGGTCGGTCTTTGACTGCTGCTATGGCTGGTTCTAGTGGACTCAGACCAGCTATCAATCTTGATGCTGTGGTGGATTCAGCTGATGATGACCGAGCAGCGGCCGCAGCGGCAGTTGCTGCGTTTTCTGAAGCGCAGGCGGAGTCGCTTCGTCTCATGGCGTCCTTCTGCTCTATCATCCCCAGCCCCACGCCGCTTCAGACACAGCATCAGTCACCGCAGCAGCAGCAGCAGCAGCAGAAGCAATCACAAATGCACCAGCAGGAGCAGCATCAATTGGAGGAGCAGCAGCAGCAGCAGCAGCAGCAGCAGCAGCAGCAGCAGCAGCAGCAGCAGCAGCAGCAGCAGCAGCGCCAATCACAGCAGCATCAACCTTCAACCCTCTACAGTTCCCTTTTTCCAAGCCCTGACACAAACCCCCTCACTCCGAGTGCTACTGTAATATCGCCAAGTCCCTTGGAAGTAGGTAATTCCACTCCAGGCATGAACAGTCGTCAGAACCAGCAAATACGCACTGACCAGTGGCAAGCACGACGACAGACTCAACCCTCGGGAACAGCACTTGGCAGTTTTGGAAACAGCAGTGTAAGCATGCTACCTGCTGGGTTATCAACACCAGAGATTCCACCAGCAGCAGCGGCACTCGGCGGTTCTGGCGGCAGCAGTCGTAACATGTTGTACGTCAAGCAGTCAACACTACAGGAGCCAACCCCAGGAGCAGCTCTTGACACTTCCGGCAACAGCAGTGGTAACCTGGTAACCGCCGAGCCTTCAACAAGACAGCCAATCTTTTATTGGGGATCGCCTCCTGGGCAGTCGGGATCTAGTTGGGAGACTGTTGCTGCTGCTGTGGGGGAGTTGGGAAGGGCTTCAGGTAGAGTGTCAGGTGGACCTTCAGGTAGAGGTTCAGGTGGTTTTTCAGGTCGGCCTGCAGGTATTCCTGTAGCTGGAACCTCAGGTGGGCCGCCAGGTTATCCCACAGGCGGTCCTTCAAATGGTCTCTCAGGTGGGCCCCCAGGTTTTTCCTCAGTTCATCCATCAGGTAATGTCCCAGGCTGTCCCTCAGGTGGCCCTCCAGGTGAAATCTCCGGTAATCCCTCAGGTGAACCTCTAAGTGGTTCATCAGCTGGACATTCAGGTGGTTTTTCAGATATCCCGTCAGGTGGTCCCTCAGGTACCGGTACTAGAGGTGCCACCATGATGGTGGACCTGAACGAGCCTCCAACTGCTTTCAGCTTCCAGGGACCCACCTTCCAGGAGCCAGCATTTCAGGCTGATCAGATTTTCACAAACCCAGCCTCCTTTCCATCTAATTCCCAAGCTATTCAAGCTACCCGAACCACAGAAGTTACCCAAGCCATTGAAATTCCCCAAGCTACCTACTCACTAGCACCACCGACATCACTTGTTATTCCTACGCACTCTTTTGCTGCAGCTCCCTGGGCAGCTGTTCCCCCAGCAGCGGCGGGGCGCTCTCTGTGCCCTGTGTCCCCCCGGCCCATGTCAGCCCTGCTCCCACCGGCGGCTGTCTCACCCACCAGGCCATTAGCTGCAGCACCATCAGCACTGGCAGCAGCGTCAGTCGCAGCACCACTAGCACGACCATCAGCACTAGCAGCAGCAGTAGCAGCAGCAGCAGCAGCAGCAGCAGCAGCAGCAGCAGCAGCAGCAGTAGCAGCGCCAGCAGCAGCACCATCAGCACCGTCAGCAGCATCAGGGCGGTCAGCATATCCTTTATCCCGGCAAGTGTCAGCGCCGTTACCTCCAGTAGCTGTGTCACCCACCGGGCGTTTAGTAGGAGGACCACCAGTAGCACCAGCAGCACCAGGGCGGTTGTCATGTCCTTTATCCCGGCCCGCGTCGGCGCCACTACCACCCCCAGCTGTCTCGCCAACCGGCCGATTAGTAGCAGCACCATCAGACGCAGCACCATCAGCAGCAGCCGCATCAGTAGCATCAGCAGCACCAGCAGCAGCGGCACCATCAGCAGCACCAGCATCAGCAGCACCATCACTCTCCCCATCACCCCCAGGAAGCAGCCCCTTGGGAAGAAAACGGAGCTGGAAAGAATACTCCCTCTTCAACGTATCAAGGCTCGAAAGCTTCCGTCCCACATTTTCCGCACAAGCCGCTACCACCAACACCTTCAGCAGAAGCAGCACCAATCCTCGGTTCTCAGCTTCCCTTCACCCCATCCCTGTCACCACCGGAAGCAGGATGGTTGCCTCTCTGAGTGCCCCTCTGCTGGAAGAGAGGACCATTGCAGCTGTGACTGCCGCTTTTGCCGCCTCTGCTTCTCTTGCGACAGCTGATGCGTCTCCTGCTACAGCCGCCGCCGCTGCTGCTCATGCTACAGCCGCGTCTGCTGCGCATGCCACAGCTGCTGCTACTGCTCGTACTACAGCTGCGGCAGTTCCCAGGATTAGCGCCATGCGCGGACCCACTGCTGCTGCTGCCGGTGCTGCTCCTGCTGCTGCATCTCCTGCCGCTAACACGTCTTTGACTTCTGCCAGTGCTGCATCTCCTTCTTCCACCCATCTTACTGACGCCTCCCTTGCTGCAGGAGTTCTTATCTCTGCTGCCATCTCGCGTGCTCTATTCTCTGTTGCTGCTGCTCCTGCTGCTTCTGCCGCTGCTGTTCCTGCTGCTCCTGCTGTTGCATCTCCAGCCGCGAACGCTTTCCAAGCCTCCGCCAATGCTGCTTCTCCTGCTGCTGCGTCTCCTGCTGCTGCTTCTCCTGCTGTTGCGTCTCTTGCTGCTGCTTCTCCTGCTGCTGCTGCCGCCGCAGCTGCTACTGCCGCTTCCCTGGCTGCCGTTGCGTCTGCAGAGACGCTGAATCCTGCAACTGAGCTTTTGCTCCGATTCTTGAGGCAAAGTGTTGAGCTTCCAAGCACAGTAACTGCGCCTGTGGATGCTGCTCCTGTACCCGCTGCTACCACTGCTTTTTCTGCTGTTTCTGCTGCTGCTGCTACCGCTGCTGCCGCTGTTGCTGCTGCTGCTCCATCTCCAGTTGCTCCATCTGCGTCTTCTCCAGCCTGGGCACCGCAAACTGCAATGACCACTCCTCTGGTAACATCCGTCAGCCTCCCAGCGATAGGCGCCACAGATCACATAGGATCCGCGCATTCTGCGCACTCCCCTCCCCTGTCCTCCCACCTGCTGGCCTCCCGTGCGTTCGACGAAGTGACTCCCCAGCCAACGATAGGAGCCATAGATAACATAGATTCCACGCGCTCTGCGCACTCCCCTCCCCTATCCTCCCGCCCGCTCTCCACCCGTGCATTTGAAGAAGTGACCCCCCAACAACTCATTACGGAGTTGGAGGCTTGGGATGTTGGGGTGTGGAGGGAGGGTCTACTGATTGAACAGGAACAGCAGCAGCGGCGGCAGCAGCAGCAGCAGCAGCAGCAGCAGCAGCAGCAGCAGCAGCAGCAGCAGCAGCAGCAGCAGCAGCAGCAGCAGCGGCGGCAGCAGCAGCAGCGGCAGCAGCAATGGCAGCAGCAGCAGCAGCAGCATCAGGCTAACCTAGGGGCTGGACTTACAGGAAGAGGGCTAGGGAGGAGCAGAAGCCAGGGCCATGGCTCTTCAAGGACGCAAGTCTTCAACCCCTCTGGTATAATCGGGGCAAGGGAGAGGAGTAGGCTATCATTTGATTTTGATGAGAGCAGGATTACACTGCAGCTAGGCCGGCCAGCCTACAATGATCCTTCCATGCAAGAGGGGGAATAATAGGCTTGAGGGGATATTTGAGCCGACTCAATCTGGTTGGTGAGAAGAGTAGGCTATTTGAGATCCATAAGAGCAGGATTACCCTGCGGCTAAGCAGGCTGACCTACGACGATCCTTCTTTGCGAGGGGCAGGACAACTGGGGGTGAGGGGATTTTTAAGTTGGCTCGACTCAAAATCGGCTGGTGAGAACACGATTACAGAAATTCAGTCCATGCAGGCCGGCCTATGACGATCCTTCCATGAAAGAGGGGGAACACTGGTTTGGGATGGGATAAAGCTCTTATTGCCTATGATTGTTGTATATGACAGTTTATATATATATTTAGTTGCTGCCCATTACGTTGACACGATGTGCTTCATTGCGTATGGTCTCAGTTTGGAATGGTTTTACATTCTTAAAGGTGGAAAGCAAGCAGGAACAGGAGCGTAAGTGCCTTCGTAATAGACCTCTCCACAAGGCCCTTCGGTTCCCAAGGTGTTTATTAGCCTTGTATTAGGAATTTGGATACGCATTGTTCATTTTTTTTCTTGACAGTGAGGTCGACTTTACAGCGGATGTTCATGTAAGGACCTTCATTACAGTGGCAACGAACATTCACCCAGATTGCTTCATTAGAGGAACGCCTTCATCCAGACGAAGCGGAGAACATTCGGTCACAAAGCTAGAGTGGCTGTGGCTTGCCTTCGCTGTTGAGGTCGGTTCGTTACGTTGCAGTGTGGTTCTTCTCTCTTCCGCCGCCACTCACTTCGCCAGCAATGCGCCCAACCTGCCGCAAGTTCCCAATCCCAACCCCAGCCCAACCCCACCCCCACCACAATCAGCCGCAACACGCTCTCCCGCGCGCCCCCTAGTAGGACACGTTTGTTCGTCTTGTCTCTACCCTCCCTCCTTCCAGGGTGTGGACAGATTCCACTTGGCGCGTCAAACCCAAGGGGTGCAAGGCGAGCGAATTGGGAATGTTCGGGAGAGTTCGAGAGAGTTCGGGAATGTTCTCCAACTTCGCTAGGGCTAAGGTGACTCTTGCTACCGTCGTTTTGCCTTGTTCGCTATTCTCGTCTTTCTTCAAGAAAATTCGACACGCTTCGCGTGCCTTCGCGAAGCACATTCGGGCTCCATTCCTTTCATCCAGCTCTTCCATCCCACGCCTCCTCTCACATTCCATCCTCATCACCTCGTCTATAAATACTCGTAGACCTCTTTCATGATAACTCAATTCAGTTTCTAAACAGCGCAAGCTACTCAAGCTAGCTCTCTTCCTCTTTCTGCTCGTTCCTATCAAATTTCTCCAAGCACAACAAGCGTTAACCTGTCTGATAAACATTTTTTAATTCATCCCCCAAGTCATTTTATTTTCGCGAAACCGTTCAATTAGATTGTACGATGGGGATAGATTACTATGGCCTGCTGTCGGTCCCGAAGACCGCAACCGACGACGAGCTGAAGAAGGCATACCGCAAGCTCGCCATGAAATGGCATCCCGACAAAAACCCCGACAACAAGGAAGCAGCGGAGGCCAAGTTCAAGCAAATATCAGAAGCATACGAGGTACGAATCCTCATACTTGAATGCAATCTTCCAACTTTCATTCTATATGTAATTCTTCCTTTCACGAATGATCCCTCCGTTTCTTAAGAAGAAGCAACGAATTTAGCGCATCGGGCTGGGAGAAAAAACCCCTCGTTATAATTATATGTGAATGCTTAGACCATTCTATGTTTCTTCAAACGTCATCTGAATGCTGACACTTCTTTATCTCTTTTTTTGTTATGCACAGGTTCTCAGCGACCCAGAGAAGCGGCAGATCTACGACCAGTACGGAGAAGAGGGTCTTAAAGGAGGCGTACCTCCTCCCGGCGCAGCAGGCGGCGCCGATGGCGGCGGGTTTCCTGGCGGCTTCCCCGGCGGACCGGGCGGCGGCGGCGGCGTGCGCTTCCGCACGTTCAATCCACGAAACGCGGAGGACATTTTTGCCGAGTTCTTCGGCGGGTCGAACCCGTTCGGCGGCGGCGGAATGGGCGGAAGTTCGTTTAGCGGGTTTGGCGGGCCGGGTATCCGCGTAACGCAGATGTCTCCCAACGGATCCCCCAGAATGGGCGGAATGGGGGGGATGGGCGGAATGGGGGGAATGGGCGGAATGCAATTCCAGGAGATGTTTGGCGGAGACGAATCCCCCTTCGCGCGTTCGCCCATGGGCGGGAGCCCCAGGAGCCCCAGAAAGCCGCCTCCTGTGGAGAACAAGCTTATGTGCACTCTAGAGGAGCTCTATACCGGATCCACGCGGAAAATGAAGATCTCGAGAAACATCGCGGACGCCAGCGGGTAAGTGATCCGAGGCTCCATTTATTCTACAATTAAACTTCGAGTGCAAAGAACGATTCACATGAAAAAAAAAAAAAAAAAAAAAATGCTGGATTGTTCAATTGATATCCCTCCTCCCTTGCTTTCCTTTCTACCCTTTCTTTTCTCTTTGATTTCAGCAAAACGCTGCCCGTGGAGGAGATCCTGACCATCAATGTGAAGCCCGGATGGAAGAAGGGTACCAAGATTACATTCACAGAGAAAGGCAACGAGCAACCCGGCATGCTCGCAGCAGACTTAACCTTTATCATCGACGAGAAACCCAACGACAGGTTCAAGCGCGACGGCAACGACCTGATTTACACCCAGAAGTTGAGCCTGGCTGAGGCTTTAACTGGTTACACTGTCAGGGTAACCACCCTGGACGGGAGGAGGCTGGAAGTGCCTGTAACGGAAGTGATTTCGCCGGGGTATGAGAAGGTGGTTGCGGGCGAGGGTATGCCGATGAAAGAGCCCGGGAAAAAGGGGAATTTGCGAATTAAGTTTGAGGTGCAGTTCCCGAGGCGACTGAGTGCAGAGCAAAAGGCACTCGTGAAGCAAGCGCTAGATCGTTGAGGTGAAAGTGGAAGCAGGCTCAGGGAGAGTTACCCAGGATTGGGAGGTGTTGTCAGGAGTAAATTGAACATCAGGTCTTGACTCCTGAGGAAAGAGCTCAAGCATAGGTATGTGTTGTAATGTTGACAGATTCTGGTTCCAGCTGAAGAGGGCTGGGTTTTAGGTCAGTAGATGTGACAGGAGAATGGAACTTTGCCATGTTATTGTACTGTAGTTGGCATGTAGGTTTTGCACAGCCAACTGCTGTGCCTGATTATCTCTCCATTGAAAGGTCTAGATTGGATGTTGGTTCATGTTCAGAACAGCCAAACCAGTTTATGAGACAGTTCATGGGTTAGACCAGTCAACCAGCAAGATGTAGCACAATTAGGGTACATTCCTGCGGGGACACTTGTGTCTCAATCACTTTGTGACATCTAAAAACAGCATATACCGTGCCCTGTCACAAAAGCGGATCGCGCTTATGCGAGTCCCACTGTATTTTACATTGGTTGGCGTGAATTGCGCTTGTGTCGCGGACGAGTTACACGAGGCCCCGTCACATCCCGAAAATCGCACGCGTGTCGAAATCTCACACTGTACAGCATGCACCTGGACGCCCGAACTGGGCACGTTTCCGCGCGGGGATGGAAACCGCTCTGCCCGGGCTGACATATGACTGGTCCTTCAGCACACACGGTCACATCCTTGCCCGAATGTTTGCCCATCGTTCCAACCACACTGACAGCACGCTCCCGCTCCAATCTGTTCTTCTTCTCCCAACCCGAGCTTCCTCTTTCTTGTTGCGAAGTCTAGCCAGGGTCTTCTTTGGCACGATGTAGCCATGGCCCGTAAGCGCAAGAGCGTAGCTAGTTCTGTTGACTTGTGCCCGCGGGATCTCGACGAGATCCCGTACATCGCTTGGATGAACAAACAAATCGCGGCCGGCCGCAAGCCCGCCGGCCCTTTGCCCGAAGGAGCGCCTGGTGCGGGGGACACCTCGTTCGAAGCCCCGCGCGATGTCCCTACCCGCGGACGCCGTCATGCCGACCGAGTTGCCTCATCCCGCGTCAACGACGATGCTGCCTTCGATGACGATGATGACGCCGCGGACTCTGATTACAACGAGTGCGACGAGGCCTGCGAAGACGACGCGAACTCTGGCGAGGAGCAGGACAAGGGCATGTCCCCCTCCGAGGATGAAGTTGACGCCGACGAGGACGCCGATGACGACGAGGACGCTCCCGAAGAGGCCCAGCCTGCGTCCCCGGCTCCTCGTCGCGGCCGTGCGTCTGCCGCTGCGGGAACCAAGACTGCTGCTAAGGGCGGGGAACCTCCGCGTGCCGCTGCCAAGACCCGTAACTTGCATCCTGTTAAGCGGAGCGTGTGGTCCCCCCGCGAGAACACAATCTTCGTGGCTGCGCGTTGGTTCATGAAGGACGAGCTCGGGCCCCTCCTCGGGAAGCAGGGCTCTCAGTACTGGGCCCGCCTCGCGCGTCACCTCGAGAAGGAGAATCCCGGTTGGGTGAGCGGTGTAAACGCGCTTCAGAAGCAGTGGCGCAATCTTGTGAACATGTACAAGCAGATCAAGAAGGGGGAAAAGGCGAGCGGCAAGGGTGCCGTGTGCAAGCCCCACTGGTACCCGTACATGGCGCTTTTCCAGAACAACAAGGCGGTGGGCAACCCTCACGCCGTCGACGGTGGCGGTGCGGCACACGTCAACGTGCCGTGCGGGTACGCGGTCCCGTCCACTTCGGCGCCCTGCACCTCTACGCCGACATTCACTGGTATGTATGTGTTGCATCAACGGTGGCACTCGCGGGTTTGTTGAATGACACATTTTGTGACAACATTTTACGCACACATTACATCATTAAAATGTTTAGGGTACATAACACCTCGTCTACTGTTCGTGTGCATCCACCGTGTGTGCAGCTCCGCCGCCGCAGGGAACTCCTACATCGAAGCGCCCACGTGTGGCAGAGACGGCGACGATGGCCGCTGCAAAGCTGGTGTGCGAGACGATCAAAGGCTGCTACGCCATGAGCAGGCTCGAAGGCCTCGTCCGCGCGTGGATGGATCAGGACGCGCGTATTGCTCGGGAACGCGTGCAGCAGCCCGCACCCTCCCCGCATGTCCGCGACGACATCCCTACCCACGCGGACAACATGACCGACTCGCACGCCGCCGAAGGCGGCGACGACGGCTGGCTTCGTCGCGGGCAGGCGGGCGAAGACCCCTCTAACCCAGATGCGGGTGAGGAGGTGTGGGTCCGCGGCGCCGCCGAGTGAGGTAAGACGACTCCAGAGCCTCGCCCAGCCGCTTGCGCCTTTCACGAAGATTCTCTTGCGTGCATGGGTCACATGGCTCCCACATGAACTCTGCTACCGCGCCACGAGTCCACCATGGGTCCCGGTTTCGGGGCAAGTTTGCCCACGATGCATTGACGCGCCTTACTGCGCCCATCATTTCGCACATGTTGTGCAGGATGACGCCACAAGACGCCCCTGCAAGAATGCGCCAGAGCTTGCAGTCATTGCGGCCCGCGAATAGACGCCACCGGCCTTTGAAGGCGCCGATGCAGCGCTCTACTGCCATGCGCGTTGCGCTTTGGCAATAGTTAAAGCACTGCTCCCAGTCCTCCATTAGGCCTTCACGGGGAGCATGTAGGGGGGTCAGGCAGAAGTCTCTGAGTGGGTAGGCAGCATCTCCCACTATTTGGTATGGCGCTATGTCGCCGTTGTACAACCTTTCGTGTAACGCGTTGTTCATGAACACTCTCTGATCGTGCGCACTGCCCGGGTATCCGATCAAATAGTCTCATATGATGCCTCGCGCGTCGCATGTGATCTGCAACTGGACGGCGTAACAGGACTTCCGCGTGTAGTACTCTTGCCTGTGCCCCTCCATCCCCTTCATGGGTATGTGTGTGCCGTCTATAGCCCCCACTACCGCAGGTACCCCCTTGATGGCGCGGAACTCTGCGGCCATCTCGTCGAGGTCGTCGCGGGTCGGGAAGTGGACCCACTGCTGCTTGAAGACGGACGGGAAATGCATGAGGAGCGCGTCAACAAGCATGTGGCACAGGGTCTTGGACTGAGAAGAATGAAGAACGAGGATGAATGAACTATGAATGAGGTGAGTACATATGGAAAACCCTAATTGGGTTGTACCCCCTATGGGATACCCCACTATAGCCTACACAACAGCATAAGCTATATAATGTTCTGACACACCCCCATAGGCAAAGTGGGGGAGAACAAGGGGTCACAAGACCAGTCAAGCAAAGCAGAGCAAGCTCAGGGTGGATCACAACGTCACCACACAGTCCGAGCACAACGACAAGGCCACAAGGCCAGTTCACATGCAGGAGTACACATATATATATAGAGCTAGACAAGCAAGAGCAGGTATATATATGTGACAGTACAAGTAAGGTCAAGAGGAGAGCAAGTGAGGCAAGACAGGTACAAGACCCAGCTGAGTGCAGAAACGCTGATGGTCACAAGGCGCAAGTGCCTTGGTGAACACATCAGCAGTGTTGGCCTGAGAGGCCACGTACGCAAGTCGCAACTGACCACGCTGCTGCAGCTCACGAGCAAGAAAGTAACGGAGAGCAATGTGCTTCGTTCTGTGCTCCAAGCGCTGCTCTCGACACAAGGCCAGCATGGCCTTGTTGTCTACGTACAGCACTGGAGGAGAACGAGGCGGCTCTCCAAGGTCAGTCAGCAGGTAGGTGAGCCAGCGAAGCTCCTGTGCAGCCATGGCCCCGGCGTAGATCTCAGCCTCACAACTGGAGCCGAGAACAGAGGACGAGCGAGTAGCTCGCCACGAGACAGAGCCGGAACCAAGACTGAAGGTGTAACCCTGCGACGACCGCTGCGTAGCCTGGTCGTCAGCCCAAGAAGCGTCCGCGTGCCCAGTGAGGACCACTGGACTCCGCCCTCCAAGCACTAGTCCCATGCCCGACGTACTGCACAAGTATCGCAACACCCTCTTCGCTGCAGCCATGTGCTCTGGTCGGTGTCTCCCAGGAGCAACATAGCGTGCAAGAATGCTAAGAGGGTATGCAAGGTCAGGTCGTGTGCAGGTCATCAGGTACATGAGGCAGCCAACAAGCTCTGGATACGGGCCACTCGACTCTACTGACTCATCCGAAGGCAGAGCTGAGAGTGAGTGGCGAGTAGGCAGAGGAGTGGCCTGAGGCGAGGAGTACGTGAAGCCGAAGCGCTGAAGGACCTGCTGCACCATGTGTGACTGAGTCAGGGTAATGGTGCGGCGTGCTCTGTCCCGGGTGATCTGCAAGCCAAGGTAGCTGCGCAGTTCACCCAGGTCTGTGCACGTGTGTCTCTTCTGCAGCTCGGACTTCACGTGGGCGAGTCCAGCAGTGTCAGCTGTGGCAAAGACCAAGTCGTCGACGTACACGAGGATGTAGAACGGCGGCAGAGAGGTGTCGGTGCGTAGAAACAGCGACGGGTCGGCAGTAGAAGGAGCAAACCCAAGAGCCGCAAGCGTAGTCCTCAGTGTGTCGTGCCACTCACGTGGCGCCTGGCGGAGACCGTAGACTGGACGCCGGAGACTCCACTGGGTACCAGGAGGGAAAGACCCAGTGAAGCCAAGTGGGCGGCGCAGCCAGATCTCCTCGTGCAGGCTGCCCTGCAAGAAAGCAGTGCTGAAGTCGAGAGAGTGCAGCTCGTAGTCACGGTGAGCAGCAACGTGTAGCAGCACCCGAAGAGTGGTCATCTTCGGGGTGGGGGAGAAGGTATGAAAGTAGTCAACTCCCTGTCGCTGACTGAAGCCACGAGCCACGTAACGTGCCTTGAAGACAGGCGGAGAACCCGGCGGCCGCTTCACCCTGAAGATCCACATGCCACTGACGATGTTCGCCCCAAGAGGGGGGACAGCGTCAACGTAGGTGCCTGTGGACTTCCAGGAAGCCATCTCTGCATCCATAGCTGCCTGCCACTGAGAGGAGTAGGGACCCTCTATCGCCTCCGCGTAAGAGCGCGGAGTCGGGATGTCAAGTGCATCCGGGTCTCCCTCAGGGGTAAGCAGTACGGACACGAGATGAGGTGAAGCAGCTGCCAGACACTGGAACTCCTCCTGCCTGTCCTCAAGGACGTCCGTGCCAAGGGCACACTCACCCCCGACTGACGGAGGACAGGCAGACCCAGACTCAGCGACAAGACTAGCAGCGTAGTCTAGGCGACAGCGAGCAGCAAAGTCGACGAGCTCAGTAACTAGGGCAGACGCAGCAGTAGACTCGAAGGAAGGGTCAGTGACGACAGTAGCAAGGAGACGCGTGACAGTAGGACTGGCAGCACGAAGAGAGTCCGACGCAGGGTCGGGAAGAGCAGGAAGAGAGGACTCAGGAGGAGAAGGCAAAGGGGCACGCAGAGGAGCAGTAGACGGACGCAGAGACATCCTGTGCGTGCCAGGGACAGGAGGAGGACGCTGACGCGAACCACGACCACTAGCGCGAGCAGCACGGACAGGCGACGCAGGGCGAGACGCAGGCTCACGACGCTCAGTAAGACCTCCAGTAGGACCAGTGTAGGGAGAAGGAGCAGGCAAAGGGGAGGTAGGCTGTAGCAGTGACCGCGACGGGACAGGCTGTGGACCCTCCAAGAGAGGAGGAGGACCAGGAGAGGGCGGAAGACCAAGAACCTGCTGCAGGAGTGGAACGAAGTACGGTCGAGGCCGCGTAGCTACGCCAGAAACAGCAGGGACAGCACCAGTACCCCCAGCAGGAGCACCCGCTCCAGCAGCACCTCCAGTAGCTCCAGAACCTCGAGCAACACCAGGAGCACCCCCAGCAGGACCGCCAGTGGTAGTCTCAGCGCCAACACCCTCAGCAGCACCAGCTCCAGTCGAACCCGCAGGCCCAGCAGCTCCAGTACTCCCAGTACGAGCACCTCCGGGACCCGCAACAGCAGCACCCTCAGTAGCCGACGAACCTCCAGCACCAGCAGCACGGCTCCAGCGCCGGGCAAACCACTCGCGCAGCTCCTGTGGAGAGAGTGGCTCCCGGCGAGACAAAGCACGCGTAGAAACTCGAGGCGGAGGACCTCCAGGCGCAGCACTCCCAGGTCCAGCACCCCCAGGCAAAGCACCCCCAGGCGTAGCACCCCCACACTCAGCACCCCCAGGCTCAGCACCCCCAGGCTCAGCACCCCCAGGCTCAGCACCCCCAGGCTCAGCACCCCCAGACTCAGCACCCCCAGACTCAGCACCCCCAGGCTCAGCACCCCCAGGCCCAGCACCCCCAGGCCCAGCACCCCCAGGCTCAGCACCCCCAGCAGCACCAGAGTCACCAGTGACCTCGACAGGCTCGACTGCGTCTACCTGGGACACACCTGAAGGGGCAGGACCCTGAGGGGGGAGGGGGTCTACCGGGGGGGGACCTGGTACAAGGAAGAGCGGGGGCGGGGGGGGGGGCGGAGTGCGGTAGGGGAAGAGGCGGTAGTAGGGTACCGACTCGTCGAACGTGACGTCCTGAGAGGACAGAACACGGCGAGAGGTGGGGTGGTAGAACTGCCACCCAGGCGCGTCTGGGGGGAACCCCAGGAAGACGCAAGGAGCAGCACAAGGGGACAGTTTGTCCGCAGACAAGTCGCGGACAAACGCCCGAGATCCCCAGACCCGGAACGCCGACGCATCGCCCACCTTCCCGGTCCACAGCAAGGCTGGGGAGGTCTCCGGCCTGGAGACCCTGGGGTGAAGGTTGATCTGACGTGCCGCGTACCTCACCGCAAACGGCCACAGAAAATGGGGGGCAGCCGCATGCATCATAGACGTACGAGCGACGTCCATGACCATGCCAATGCGGCGCTCAGCAATCCCATTTTGCTGCGGAGAGTCCGGGAGCGTGAAGGTCTGACGGATGCCTCGTGCACGACAGTAGGCTCGCAGAAGGCCAGAGGAGAACTCTCCGCCTCTGTCCGAGTGCAGACGCAGAACAGGAAAGTCGGAGCCAAAGCTCTGCCTGAGCTGGAGACGAGCTGCGCGGATCCAGTCGATCAGCACCTCAGTGACATCACCCTTGCCGCGCAAGGGGAAGACTGCGGTGTAACGCGAGTAGTCGTCAACAACGAGCAGGAAGTAGCGCTCGTGACCCTGCCCACGGACGCGGGCTGGGCCCCACACGTCCATGTGGAGCGTCTGCAACGGGGCCTCTGTCGGAGGAAACTGGGAGGAGTGAGGGGCAGCACGCTGGCGCCCCTCGACACAGGGGACACAGGTAGGGCCAGGGCCCTGAGGAAGGGGAGGGAGGGACCGGGGGAGACCAGACACTAGAAGACGGGAGGCCATGCCTCTGAGCCGAAGCAGAGAGGGGTGACCAAGACGGTGGTGCCAGAGAAGAGTCTCGTGAGACAGGAGACGACAAGAACAGGGGGCAGACTCAGGACCAGACCTGGACGCAGCAGCAACCACCTGACCCGACGAAGCGACTCTACCAGACTCAGTAACGGGAGGAGACGCAGTGGTCAGTGTGTACAGGCTCGACCCCGGCTGACGGGTAAACGTAGCCAGGTGTCGGCCTGTGCGAGCCTCTGTACAGTGCGTCACCCGCTGACGCGCAGGAGTGAACTGGTGTACACCCGCATCCTGTAGGTCAGCACCACTCACCAGGTTCGTAGAGAACGAGGGGAGGTAGAGACCAGACAGGGTGCCAGAGGGAGCCGCCGGACACGGGAGGACTGTGGAGAAGCGAGACAGGACAGGACCCCCAGAGGGGTCAGCCAGAGACACTGCAACCGGTCGACTCAGCGGTGTGAGTGTGGTGCGGTCCCTAAAGAAGGAGCGAGACGCCCCAGAGTCAAGGGTGAAGGTGAGGGAGGCCGAAGCCGACGTAGTACCTGAGAGCGCAGACTCACCAGTACCTGAGGACGCAGACACACGAGCACCTAGGGCAGCAGCGTCGCAAGCACCTAGGGCAGCAGCCTCACCAGGACCTAGAGCAGCAGTCTCAATACCCGGATCGGGCGGGAAACACCGGTAACAGTCACCCTCATCACTAATAGACACAGCATACATGGCAGAGAGAATAGCATCAAAGTCAAGACCATAGATGGCAACACCCGCCCTGGACAGGTCACCCCAACGAGGGATCTCTGAGGCCTCCGGGAACTGGTGACGCCACGCGTCCGTCAGGCGGCCAAAGCAGCGCTGAGTGGGGTGGGGACCCCCACACTGCTCACCCGCACGGTCGCCGGTGCGCAAAACGTAGGAGCACGGACCAAAACCCCCACCTCGCTGACGCGCAGTGTACCACTCACGAAGCTGCTGAGGGGACAAGGTGTCACGACCACGCTGCTGCTGCTGGCGCGAGCCACCACCGGAGCCACTCCTCTGCGAAGACCCGCGACCAGCACCACCTCCACCCCCGCCGCCTCCTCCGCCTCCGCCGCCTCCGCTACTGCCGCCGCCTCCACCTCCGCCTCCGCCGCCGCCACCTCCGCCACCCCCGCTCCCACTGCCACCGCCGCCGACACCTCCGCCTCCACTGCCGCCACCGACTCCTCCACCCCCACCTCCACTCCCACCGCCACCCCCACTCCCCCCACTGCCGCCACCTCCACCTCCACCGCCCCCGCTCGCTCCTCCAGCGCCCTTGCCCCCCTTGCCCTTGCCAGAGCGGCGTCTCCCACTAGGGGCAGACGCCACACCGACCGACTCAAGGCCAAGGAGGTCGGCCGCAGCAGCAGAGGCAACAGAGGGCAGAAGGGGGGAGGGGGAACACCCCTCAAAGATGGGGGTGCGCGGGTCACCACGAGAGGCCCCTACAGCGACTATGCTCTTCTCGGCCGCTAGGAGGGACTTCTCGAGGAGGTCAACAGTGAGAGTGGTGGGATAGACAGAGAGAAAGTGGTCCCTGACTACGCGAAGGGAGTCAGGAAGGCGAGTGACTATGTAGTAAAGAGTGATGTACATGGGGGGGGGGTTCTTGGCGCAGAGTTCAGCAGGGAGTGCAGCGCGGTAGCGAGTGTCACTAGTGCGGAGGTGCGTAATGAGGTCAGCGACTGTGGGAAAGGCAGCAAGGTCAGGAAAGAGGTACGGTAGCATGAGACGGCTCAGTGCAGCAGTGGCAGGGGAGGAGTAGCGCGCAACTACAGCGTCGTACAAGGTCTGAGCACTCTTGTACTGACTAAAGTGTGCACGCTCGGAGGTAGGGAGGTGGCGACGCACAGCAAGACGTGCAGCAGCGTCGCGCGTGGCCCACTGGGAGCGAACAGTGGCGTCGGCGTCAGCAGCAGGGGCAGTGGAGGCGCCAGAGGTGAGGTCAAAGAGAGAGAGACCATCTGCCCTATCGCACTGTAAGAACAGCTGCAGGTCATCCACCCAGACCTCAAAGTCAATGGCCCGACCCTCAGCGTCAAAGACTAGAACACTAGGGGTAGCCATGACCCTAGACGACTGGCAGCGCAAACAGTAGGGTGAGGGCAGTGCAGTGAAAGGGCGCTGTGCTCACCAGACTGGACAGGTCGGGCGGCCCGGAAGGAGGGCGGCGCGGCGGCTCGGCGGCTCGGCTGCCGGGCGGCTCGGCGGCTCGGCGGCTCCGCTGCTGGGCGGCACGGCTGCTGGGCGGCTCGGCTGCTGGGCGGCTCGGCTGTTGAGCGGCTCGGCTGCTGGGCGGCTCGGCTGCTCTGCTGTCGGGCGGCTCGGTTGTGCTGCTGAGGGGCAGCACGGCTCGGGCTGCTCGGGCGGTGCGGGCGGCTCGGGCGGCTCGGGCGGCTCAGCTCCTCAGCGGCACAGGCGGCGTGGGGACCGAGACGGCGGCGCGCGGCTGGGACGGGCGGCGCACGGGCGGCGTGGGGCCGGGACTGCGGTGCGCGGCCGGGACGGGCGGCTCACGGGCGGCGTGGGGCCGGGACGGGCGGCGCGCGGGCGTCGAGGGGCCGGGACGGGCGGCGCGCGGGCGTCGAGGGGCCGGGACGGGTGGCGCGCGGGCGTCTAGGGGTCGGGCCGGGTGGCGCGCGGGCGTCTAGGGGCCGGGACGGGCGGCGCGTGGGCGTCGAGGGGCCGGGACGGGCGGCGCGCGGGCGTCTAGGGGCCGGGACGGGCGGCGCGCGGGCGTCTAGGGGCCGGGACGGGCGGCTCACGGGCGGCGAGGGGCCGGGACGGGCGGCGCGCGGGCGTCGAGGGGCCGGGACGGGCGGCGCGCGGGCGTCGAGGGGCCGGGACGGGCGGCGCGCGGGCGTCTAGGGGCCGGGACGGGCGGCGCGCGGGCGTCTAGGGGCCGGGACGGGCGGCGCGCGGGCGTCTAGGGGCCGGGACGGGCGGCGCGCGGGCGTCTAGGGGCCGGGACGGGCGGCGCGCGGGCGTCTAGGGGCCGGGACGGGCGGCGCGCGGGCGTCTAGGGGCCGGGCCGGGTGGCGCACGGGCGTCTAGGGGCCGGGACGGGCGGCGCGCGGGCGTCTAAGGGGCCGGGACGGGCGGCGCGCGGGCGTCTAAGGGCCGTGACGGGCGGCTAAAGGGGCCACTAGGGGCCAAGAGAGAGGGGAGCGCGACTCGGGTAGGGGCAGAGTGCGCTCCGGGCAGGAAAAAAAAAAACGGTGGGCCCTAGGAACAGTTCCCACGAGGGAACCTGCTCGATACCATGAGAAGAATGAAGAACGAGGATGAATGAACTATGAATGAGGTGAGTACATATGGAAAACCCTAATTGGGTTGTACCCCCTATGGGATACCCCACTATAGCCTACACAACAGCATAAGCTATATAATGTTCTGACATGGACAGCCCGAACACGGAGGACAAGTCTACGAAAGACATGCCACTTGCGAGGTATTTGATAGGTACAAGGCATGCCACTTCATGACTGATTAGGTACCTGTCCACGTACGGTTGCATGTAGTGCGTCATCCCGGCGACAATGTATTCGAGAATGCCACGGTTTATGCGAAACATATCTCTGAACTGATCCTCCCCCATGCCGTCCAGGTCCTCTAGCAGCAACTGGTATCTCCGCCGGCGTAGCCCAGCCCTTCGTTTCCGCTCTGCGGTACGGTTGGAGGCGCGAGAGCTGGATGACGAGGACACCTCGTCATTGAAGACGTTCGCCTCCAGCAAGCCACCGACCGACTTGGCGATGGCGTCCATGAATATGCTGTAGTAGAACGTAACCCATGCGACAAGTAGGCGCATGAGGAATGGCACCTCGCGGGGCGATGCCATGGTTGCTAGACAGTGGTGCAGTTTAGCTCTGTGATGCTTGCGTTTTTGTACTTGGAGCCGTGGTTGTATACATGCTGTTGTGTGTGGGGTGGCCCAAATTGCAACTTTCATTTCTGTGGCAAGCCCACCGCGATACTCGAGGTGGTGCGATATGTTTAGCCCCCCTGCCCGGCGGGAAAACTGGGTGGGCACAATCCTATTGGTCGCAACCAATAGTACGCACCCACCTGGCTGTGCCCATCTGTCGCGCAGGGTCGCGATACATTGGTTGTTTGTGACACAACATTTGGCAAATTTACAGGCGCGACTCGGGAAAACGGGGATTGAGACACAAGTGTCCCCACAGGAATGTACCCTTATTGTCTGAGATGGCACATAACCAGCAAAGTCCGTAAATGACCACAGCAGGAAATCAACCAGCAGCAAACAACAGATGGTAAGCAGCAAAGTCTGAGAGTGATACAAATTCTTGCATCAACAGCAGCAGGCGTCAAAGCACCAGCCAGCACCAGACGTGCCGACGCGTGTCGACACGTGCGAGTGCCTTTGTCAACAGATGTGCATTCCTGGCAAGGCTCTCGTTACCCTACGCATCAGGGTTGACTATACCTAGAACCCTGATTACTAAGGGTGGCCCAAAACAAATCTGAAGCCCTGATTCCTAGCTGCCCTCATCCTCGCCTCCCTTAAAACCACTCCATTCCACCAGCATCCACCGCCTTTGCCACCCTCGTCCATGCCTGTACTGGGAGAGCCACCGGTAGTTCTCAGTCGCCATTACTTCCCAGGGGCACCGTTAGCAGCAGCAGAACCAGCACCAGAGGTAGCACCACCAGAAGCAGAAGGATCGGCAGCAGCAGTTTTAGCCGCCTCCTCCCTATCCATCGCCAACACCACCTTCTTCAGCAGTGCCTCGCTCGGAATGAGCATTCTCCGCTGCCTTAGCCACTACCCTCGTCCATCCCTCGCCATACCTGCCACTCCCTCACGCCTCCCTCAGAGCCACTCCTTCACACCTCCCTCAGAGCCACTCCCTCACGCCTCCCTCAGAGCCACTCCCTCACGCCTCCCTCAGAGCCACTCCTTCACGCCTCCCTCAAAGCCACTCCCTCACGCCCCCCTCAGAGCCACTCCCTCACGCCTCCCTCAGAGCCACTCCTTACACGCCTACCCTGGGAGAGCTACCCATCAGTCGCCATTGGCGCAGCAGTAGCTGACCCGTTCGCACTTGCAGGAGCACCATTAGCAGCAGCAGCAGCACCGTTAGCAGCGGCAGGAGTAGAGGCAGCAGCACCAGAAGCAGTCTTAGCCGCCTCCTCCCTATCCATCGCCAACACAACCTTTTTCAGCAGCGCCTCGGTCGACAGGTGAGCATTCTCCACCGCCTTAGCTACTTTCGTCCATGCCTCTCCATACCTCGGCTCAGCAGCAACACACCTCCTCACTACCTCCCCTCTCTGCTCCTCGCTCCCATGTGCCTTCTCGAACCTCCACAGCTGCGCCCAGAAGTCTCCCACTTCTGGAGCTAGCGTCACGGCCCGGCCGAACCAGTTCCGGGCCTTGTCTACTTTCCGATCTGCCCAGAAAAGATGGGCCACCGCAGCAACAACATAAGCGTCGTGATCACATTTTTTTAAAGCGTCTACGCTGCGGGACTTTCGCTGAGGCCGCGGTGCCATTTCGATCGCTTCTGCCCATAGCCTCCCGCTGCTGGGGCATTCTTGGAGAGCTTTGGCTAAGGTAGCTTCGGCAGCCTTCTTGTTTCCGGCCCGAGCCTCCGTCCGAACCGCAGCCAGCCACAGCTCCGGCGTCTGCGGGTTCTTGTGCCGAGCCTGTTCCAGAATCGCCCGAGCCTTGCTCACCGCACCTAAGTCTTCCTCCAGCTTTGCAGCGCACAGCCAGAGGAAAATACTTCCCGGGCAGTTTTTCAGCCCGCGCTGGAAAATTTCCCGGGCAGCCCCGGTCCGGCCCTGCCGAGCCTCAAGCTGCCCGAGCATAAGCCAGAGCTTGTGAAATCCGGGAAACAGCCTCAACCCCGACTCTAACAAAAATTTCTCCTCTTCCACATCCCCCACCTCTCTCTCTAGAATTGCACTTTTCATCCAAACTCTCTCCGTCCCTCCCATCTCCCTCGCCTTTGCAAGCAACCTCCTAGCCCGCTCCGGCTCTCTGTTCTCAAATTCTAGCTTGAAAGCCGCAAGCCAGATTTCTTCAGAATCCGGAATAGCAGCATAGGCTTCCTCTAGAATAGCACGGGCACCTGGCACGTCCCCTGCTAGCCACTTTTCCTTTGCCCCCATAAGCCACAAAACTTCGGCCTGCGGGCAGTACGTGACTGCCCGGCGAAGTAGCGCGTCCAATGACTCGCGAGTCCCGTGCGTTTTTTCCAGCTGGGCTGCCCGCCGCCACACCGACTTCTTGCCCGGAAAAACGGTCAGCACATGCGCGAAAATCGCCCGAGCCGTCTCCACCGAACCTCTTTTGATGCACTCCTCCGCGTCGGCCACCCAGGTTCGTTTCCGATCCTCCTCCTCCACCCCCATACCGACCGTCGAGCGAATGATAGCGCGACACGTGGCGACCGATCCTGCCCTCTCCGCTGCTTCAGCCTCCCTCATCCACGCTTCCCTATCAATCACCACCCCCTCTCTCTGCAACCCCCGGATTGCCCTCTCTATAATCTTCCCCACCATCCCTTCATTATCATTCGCTTCTTCCAGCTTCGCAGCAGCAATCCAAATCGCCGGCTCCGTTGGCAGGGCCTCCCTAGCCTTATTGAGAACCCTCTTGGCGTTTTCGTAGACCTCTAGACGCGCCAGGGCCAACCAAAGTTCCACGTGCAACGGGCAGCATTCAACTGCCCGAGACAAAAGAATCCTCGCGTCGTCCTCCTTCGCTAGCTCCACCACGGCCTTCCACAGACGCACCGAATCCGGAACGTGCTCTAAAGCCTTCCTTAGAACGCGGGATTTTGCCACGTCATCCTTCTCCAGCCGGGCAGCGTGCATCCAGAGCTTGACAGATGTAGGGATCTCCTTCACCCCCCGCGCGATCACGGCTCGCGCCGCGTCAGGAGAGGAAAGCCGGCACGCCTCCAACCACACATCCTCGTTTTTAGGACACTCCTGGCAGCCTCTCTGAATAAACCCCCTCGCGGCCTGAAGCTTCCCGGCAAGCTCCTCCAGCCGCGCCGCTGCGATCCACCCGGGCGCGTGCTTCGGATTCGTCTGGATTACCGACTTTAAGAGGAGGCGCGCCTTTTTAATATCCGAGATCTCTGCATCGGAAGTAATTCGCATGGATTTAAGATCCGTTAAGTACCCCTTTGGATCCACTACAGTCTGTCCCGTTACACTGTCAGAAAGGCGGTCCAGTTTGAGACTCAGCACTGTACCGCGTCCCTCGCCCACAGCCGTCAGATCTGTAACGGGCGTCTGAGATGCGAATGGCGTTTCAGTGCCACCCAAAACGGCTCCTTTCCCCTTCGGATCTAGCGCCGACACGTGTTCCTTCTCCTGCCGCGCCTTCTCTAAAAGCGTATCTGGTACAGGCACGAAGCTCTCGAACCGCTTCTTTTTGTTTCGTAAACTATAGTCCCCGATTTCCGGGATGCTGTCCCAATCCGTGGTAGACATCTGGCCCAAACCGCGCTTCAGATCCGCAAATTGCTCCGTGATTTTCGGGTTCGAAGCGCGGTACTTCTCGATCTCCTCCTTCAGCCGCGCCTCGCGCCGGTCGCGCCGCCGATCGTCCATGCGATCGTCGACGCTGTCCCAAACCGCGTCCGCGTCTTTATCATCCTCGTCATACTCCCCAGTCGCGAACAGCCCCATATCGTTTCCTTCGAATTCGTCGAATTTCTGATGCTCGTCGTACTTAACCTCCTTTTTCTCCTTCCCCGTATCCTCCTCCTCTTCTTCCTCCTCCTCCTCCCCTCCCCCCGCTCCTCCTCCCGCGCCTCTCCCGCGACCCAGCGGCGCCGCGTTGCGGTCCGGCATGTCCGGAGCGGCCCGCGCGGGACCGATATCGGACCGCGTGGTGAAGCCCGTCGCGCCGCGACCGAGACCGGCGACATAGTTAGGAGGCGGTCGCTGATTAAAGTTGAGCTTCGGACGCGGAACCGCGGGCTGCGGCGCGCCTCCGGGCAGAAGAAAAGTCTGGTGGACGGTCACGTCCCGAAGCGAAAGCGAATGCTTATTTGGATCGCCGCGTCGCGACGCGAACACGGACGCGAGCGGCGCGGCATCATCGGAGAGCAGGCGCGATTCGAAAAGGAGGTGTTGGCGGGAAGCGGTTGCGGGACCGCCTTTGGAGGACAATAGGTCTTTAAGATCCGCGACTCGCGCGAAATCCGGGAGCTGAAGGGAGAGTGTGGTGCCTCCTAGGGTTCGCACGAAGAGATGCATGTCGCCTGGTGGTGATGGTGCTGGCGATGCTGCTAATGGTGCTGCTGGTGCTGCTGGTGCTGCTGGTGGTGCTGCTGGTGGTGATGCTGGTGGTGTGCTCCGGCTGGTAACTGATTTCTGAAGTTTCAGAGGCTTCTGAGAAAACCGGGAAAATGGGAAAGTGAGGAAGGAGAGACAAAGAGAGGGGTATAGCTGGGTGGCTGGGAGCACGTCGAAAGGAAGAGCGAGACGCGAAGGCGGAATGCTTAAATCAGGAATCGTAAGGAGAGATAACGATAGACGGGAGGGGTATAATAACACGCAAAGAGTAGTTAAGAATATGAATGCAATCTAGAAACAACAGATAACTTACAGCAACACGCAACCGTGGGTTGTTCAGTGAGTCGAATCCCAGGAACACGTTTGCACCTAACCCTGACGTCAGTTTTACGTTCTTAAGAGCGTCGTGCTAGAAAAAGGTGCAATATTACCGTGAAAAGCGCGAAGAGCTGCTCTAAGAAGAAACGGTTCTAAAACATCTCGACTCTTCTAGAATGCTGGAGGTATTTATTTTTCTCTCTGTTCCTGCTGGATATTTGTTCGGCTGGGATGGGATGGGATCATGGGACTCGGGAGATCCCAATGTTCCCTGATAGCACCCAGCAAAATTGGATAGGCTATTTCCGGGGGAAAATATGTCAATGGTAACTTATATGGGGCAATATAACGCGTACGGTAACGATTTCAACGCGTTTGGTAACTCGTCTAACACATTTGGTAACTCGTCTAACGCGTTTGGTAACTCGCTTAACACGTTTGGTAACTCGCTTAACGCGTATGGTAACTATATACGGCCATTTTCAGGTGCATGCAACTTAGCCTGGGAAATTTATTCAAGTGCATGCCATGTTATTCCGCAGGTGTGTACACTTTACGCAGCTTGAAAATCTGTTATCGTAAGAGGATGATCTTCCCCAGATTCGTTTCGAATTAGCACAAACTGTCGAGAATAGATGCGATTACGGATTACGCAAAGCGAAATGGGGAATGGTTGGTTCTCGATTCTACATTTTCTAACGTCGCCAGAAGCAATCATTGTATGTTGCCCAATTTTGACGCGGATTTCTGCTTCGCCCCAACTCTTCTTGAACAAACTTTATTGCTATGCTATTGACACAGGTGACGAGCGCTGCGCATGGCAAATCAACATTTTTTTCTTGGGCGTGCAGAAATTTGGAAAGGTAATTCCATGAGAAGTCTGCCCGAAGTTTTGTAAAGTTTGCCCCTAGAAAAAAATAATGTTCTTACGGTACATGTGTATTCTAATTGTTGGGATACCTTAGCTTTCATTATTTACCATTTATAATACTTGTAGCGTATTTATTTTATAGCGGTAAAGGAAACTCAATTAGAACTCGGGCAGATATTTCACGTTTCGGATCATCCTTTCTTAATTTCTGCACGCCCAAGAAAAAGTTGTTGATTTGTGTGAATCAAGAAAACAGGAATGAAATGACTAAGTGAAAGTTGGGTACAAAAAGGCAAACCCTAGGCAACTGTACCCCATATGTGCTACCCCACTATAGCCTACAGTAGCTATGTCATATAACTCTGACACACCCCCATAGGCAAAGTGGGGGAGAACAAGGGGTCACAAGACCAGTCAAGCAAAGCAAAGCAAGCTCAGGGTGGATCACAAAGTCACCACACATTCCGAGCACAAGTTCAAGGCCACAAGGCCAGTTCACATGCAGGATTACATATATATATAAGGCTAGACAAGCAAGAGCAGGAGTATATATATATGCAACAGTACAAACAAGGTCAAGAGGTGAGCAAGTGAGGCAAGGTAGGTACAAGACCCAGCTGAGTACAGAAGCGCTGATGATCACAAGGCGCAAGTGCCTTGGTGAAGATATCAGCAGTGTTGGCCTCAGAGGCCACGTACGCAAGTCGCAGCTGACCACGCTGCTGTAGCTCACGAGCAAGGAAGTAGCGAAGAGCAATGTGCTTCGTTCTGTGCTCCAGTCTCTGCTCTCGACACAAGGCCAGCATGGCCTTGTTGTCTACGTAGAGCACTGGAGGAGAACGAGGCGGCTCTCCGAGGTCAGTCAGCAGGTAGGTGAGCCAGCGAAGCTCCTGTGCAGCCATGGCCCCGGCGTAGATCTCAGCCTCACAACTGGAGCCGAGAACAGAAGACGAGCGAGTAGCCCGCCACGAAACAGAGCCGGAACCAAGGCTGAAGGTGTAACCCTGTGACGACCGCTGCGTAGCCTGGCCGTCAGCCCAAGAAGCGTCTGCGTGTCCAGTGAGGACCACTGGACTCTGCCCTCCAAGCACAAGCCCCATGCCCGACGTACTGCACAAGTAGCGCAACACCCTCTTCGCTGCAGCTATGTGCTCCGGTCTGTGTCTCCCAGGAGCAACATAGCGTGCAAGAATGCTAAGAGAGTAGGCAAGGTCAGGTCGTGTGCAGGTCATCAGGTACATGAGGCAGCCAACAAGCTCTGGGTACGGGCCACTCGACTCTACGGACTCATCCGAAGGCAGAGCTGAGAGCGAGTGGCGAGTAGGCAGAGGAGTGGCCTGAGGCGAGGAGTACGTGAAGCCGAAGCGCTGAAGGACCTGCTGCACCATGTGTGACTGAGTCAGGGTAATGGTGCGGCGTGCTCTGTCCCGGGTGATCTGCAAGCCAAGGTAGCTGCGCAGTTCACCCAGGTCTGTGCACGTGTGTCTCTTCTGCAGCTCGGACTTCACGTGGGCGAGTCCAGCAGTGTCAGCTGTGGCAAAGACCAAGTCGTCGACGTACACGAGGATGTAGAACGGCTGCAAAGAAGTGTCGGTGCGCAGAAACAGCGACGGGTCGGCAGTAGAGGGAGCAAACCCAAGAGCCGCAAGTGTAGTCCTCAGTGTGTCGTGCCACTCACGCGGTGCCTGGCGGAGACCGTAGACTGGCCGCCGGAGGCTCCACTGGGTGCCAGGAGGAAAAGACCCAGTGAAGCCAGGTGGGCGACGCAGCCAGATCTCCTCGTGCAGGCTGCCCTGCAAGAAAGCAGTGCTGAAGTCAAGAGAGTGCAGCTCGTAGTCGCGGTGAGCAGCTATGTGCAGCAGTACCCGAAGAGTGGTCATCTTCGGGGTGGGAGAGAAGGTCTGAAAGTAGTCAACTCCCTGCCGCTGACTGAAGCCACGAGCCACGTAACGCGCCTTGAAGACAGGCGGAGAACCCGGCGGCCGCTTCACCCTGAAAATCCACATGCCACTGACGATGTTCGCCCCAGGCGGGGGAACCTCGTCAACGTAGGTGCCTGTGGACTTCCAGGAAGCCATCTCTGCGTCCATAGCTGCCTGCCACTGAGAGGAGTAGGGACCCTCTATCGCCTCCGCGTAAGAGCGCGGAGTCGGGATGTCAAGTGCATCCGGGTCTCCCTCAGGGGTAAGCAGTACGGACACGAGATGAGGTGAAGCAGCAGCCAAACACTGGAACTCCTCCTGCCTGTCCTCAAGGACGTCCGTGCCAAGGGCACACTCACCCCCGACGGACGGAGGACAGACAGACTCAGACTCAGCAACAAGACTAGCAGCGTAGTCTAGACGACAGCGAGCAGCAAAGTCGACGAGCTCAGTAACTAGGGCAGACGCAGCAGTGGACTCAAAGGAAGGGTCAGTGACAACAGTAGCAAGGAGACGCGTGACAGTAGGACTGGCAGCACGAAGAGAGTCCGACTCCGGGTCAGGAAGAGCAGGAAGAGAGGACTCAGGAGGAGAAGGCAAAGGGGCACGCAGAGGAGCAGTGGACGGACGCAGAGACATCCGGTGCGTGCCAGGGACAGGAGGAGGACGCTGACGCGAACCACGAGCACTAGTGCGAGCAGCACGGACAGGCGACGCAGGGCGAGACGCAGGCTCACGACGCTCAGCAAGACCTCCAGTAGGACCAGTGTAGGGAGAAGGAGCGGGCAGTGGGGAGGCCGGCTGTAACTGTAACTGTGACGGGACAGGCTGCGGACACTCTAAGGGAGGAGGAGGACCAGTAGAAGGCGGGAGACCAAGAACCTGCTGAAGGAGCGGAACGAAGTACGGCCTAGGCCGTGTGGCGACTCCAGACACAGCAGGGACAGCACCAGTACCCCCAGCGGCAGCACCAGCGCCAGCAGTACCTCCAGCTCCAGCACCCCCAGCAGGACCGCCTCCAGGACCGACAGCAGTAGCCTCAGCGCCAACACCCTCAGCAGCTCCAGCTCCAGTCGTACCCGCAGCCCCAGCAGCTCCAGTACTCCCAGTACGAGCACCTCCGGGACCCGCGGCACCAGCACCCTCAGCAGCCGAAGAACCTCCAGCTCCAGCAGCACGCCTCCAGCGCCGGGCAAACCACTCGCGCAGCTCCTGTGGAGAGAGTGGCTCCCGCCGAGACGAAGCACCCGGAGAACCTCCAGGCTCAGCACCGCCAGACGCCACACGAGCAGGCCCAGCTCCCTCAGGCTCCGCACCCCCAGGCTCAGCACCTCCAGGCGTAGCACCCCCAGGCGTAGCACTCCCAGGCTCAGCACCCCCAGGCTCAGCACCCCCAGTAGTAGCACCCCCAGGCTCAGCACCCTCAGGCTCAGCACCCCCAG